AAATTCAAGGTTAGTTTATCTAAACAATACCGAAAATGAGGCATTAGGCTTTTTGAGGTTAGTGGGTTCTCGACCCATTAGGCCGAGCCTACTAGAGCGACGGCGTCTCATCGTCCTTTCTTTCTTTCTATTTTTTTTCTTTTTCTTCGAGGCCTAGGCTAGGACTAGCCCAAGCCTTAGCCACATAGGCTAGCCTTAGCTAAGCCCAATCTTTTTTCTTTCTTTCTTTTGGCCCTACTTAAACCCCATAACAAATTTTTCACTCTTTTCCCATTTCCTTAGGATCAAACTTGACTTCATCATCTTCTTTATCATTTCTCTTCGTCCTCTATCCCAATCTCTATAAACTTCTTATCTCCTTCAATCTGAACCCCAAATGAGATTAAAAGGATCTCTTCTCTTGAGCCCCTCTCTTCATTGTTCGAATCTACTTTGTTCTCATCCTAGCCTCCGATCAAAATACTAGATCTCATCTATTCTTTTCTAAATCAAAGATCCCAACCTACTAACAATTGAAAGCACTACTCCTACATATTTCAACCTTCAAGCAGTATCCTAATCTCTTTCATTAAATCATTTCCCCTTTGTACTCAAGCAAATTGAAAACCCCATTCAATTTTCTTCAAATTTCTCTTGTTCTACTTCAAATTGATAAACCCTAGCTTCATTTATTTCTTGAATCCAGCCTTAAAACCCAAAACCAAAATGATTAGGTCCGTAATCCAACCTTTAAAAGCCCTCATATTCCTATCCTCATCTTCCTCTCACATACCTAAAACCTTAGGTTAGATAGACCTTACTCCTTCGCTAGCTAAGTCTCCTCTTTTCTCTAAAAATCTAATCCCATTCTCCCTCTCTTCCTAAGACAAACTAAAACTTGAATGATTTATCTTTATCTTGTGGATTTCCTAATATCTTAAACCCCGTCCTGTAAAACTTGATCTCCTGTTTTTAGTCTAAATATCAAACATGAACCTATAATTGACCCATTTACGCTAAAATATAGCTCTTGAGTCATCTCAATCACTCTTCACTCACCAATCACAACATGAGGGTGTGTGAAATTGAAAAACGAGAGAAGGAAAAGGTTACTATGAAATGGTAGTGAAAGGTTTCACTACCATTGGTCATTTAAAACCTTAGAGTTATATTGGTATGAATGGAAGATGTGAGTTTAAAGAAATTCTTACTTAGAGCTCGAGTAGATAGTGGTAGGAGCAGCGGATGTCCGATCTATTTGCAAGGTTGTTTTGGACATGAAGCTACATGAGCTACCTTGGTGTAGCTAGCTCGGTTTCCCTCTTCTTGAACGTTTGGTAAGGCACTCTCACCTTTTTTATGATTTTTTTTTTTTGCTTCAATTTCTCTCTCAATTTCTTTTCTCACTATTTTCTTTCAATTTTTCCTTAACACCATTAATGTGCCCACTCTCAATTCCTCTCTTTTTTCTTATGCAAAACTCTAAATCTACCCTTATTTATACTCGAGAGAGTCTCTTCACCCTAGTATACATTTCTTCCTCATTCATAAACAACAAACCATCCCGCATGCTATGTATTTTGGCTCGCACGGATAGAGCAAAATGTGCATTGTTGTGTTGTTTGTAAGCCGATATGGTTTGTTTTGCGGGTGTAACGTGACAAGGGGATGCATGTTGCAATTGTCTAACGAGAATTGCAATACAAGGAGGAGTCGATAGCCTTGTCCCTTTTGGCCTATTATTTTCACTAATGAAGGTGAAATAGAGCTAAGGGGTGGTAGAATGCAAGAACTAGCATGCTTGGATTTTTGTTGGAGGAGCTCGGACAACGGGTCGTATGGAGGGTCTAAATTGGTCCCGTCGTCTACATCCCGAGTTGATTTAAGTCCTTGTTAGCTGAATTTTGTTTCAATTGTATCAATCGGATATATCAATATAGTCCATATACTTTTTAATTTCTTCAATTAGGTCCTTAGCTCCTATAATTGTGATTCTAAAGTTTTTAATTGATTTAATTGTATCCCTAATTGCATCAATTTCACTTCTTTTTTTAATTCAATTGTACCCCCGATTTTGTATTTTTGGTATTTTGATTTTTTTTTAATTTCTGATTTGATTTTTATTTTTGTTTTTGATTATTTCGGTAAACTTCAACAATAGAAATAAAAGTAAAAATAAATAAAAAATAAAAACAACTAAATAAAAGAAAAGAACATGAAATGATAAAGTAAGAGACAGAAGGAATAAAAAATAAGTGAGAAAAAATTAGGAAAATTTGGGTACGACAACTTTAAGATAGTGAAGTGTCCGTCCATCCGTCCGTCCGTCCAAGTATCCTTACGGCAAGACGGATACCCATGCTCTTCAGTATTGGCTCTCAACCTAAACAATTATGCATGGTACCGAATTATTTGAGTTTAGTTAATCCCAGTAGGCACCTAAGGAGGGGAGGGATTTAATCAGGGAAAAAGGAAAAAGAAAAAGGAGAATTGCCCTATATTATGTGAATCAAGGCTGAATCACCTTCCTAATAAACCAAGAAAAGAATTTGATAGCTTAATAAATATTACTGTTTTTGAATTTTATTTCATTTTTTTTTATCTACTTTGTTTTCATTTACTTTTGCCTTTTTTTTTTCTTTTTGCTTGGTGGGTGATTAATCTCACAAGTTAATGTCTCTAATTTAGCTCGATTAAAAAATTAACTTCAAATTTCTTTTCTTCTTTAATTTCTTCACTAAGAACTTTAAAAATAAGATTTAAATAATTAATTCTTCTAAATATACTAAACATATGTGAATATTACATCGTTAAGAAGAAGTAAGTCTTGATTAACATGTAAGTTGTTTTGAAGATATTTCTAATCCTCAAACCAATATATATGTATTTACTTGTCTACAACATGGTGACGGTCCATTTCATCTTCATAATTTTTTCTTAGGGTTTTACTTTTCCAATTTTTCAAGTATATATATACACATACGAGCTGCAACTGGCTACAATATTTTACCAGTAACCACACTACTTGTCTACAACATGGTGACGGTCCATTTCATCTTCATAATTTTTTCTTAGGGTTTCACTCTTCCATTTTTCTGTTAAAGCTTTCTAATTTTTTTTTTTTAATTAATGAAGTTTCTTTACGTTTTTGTTTTGTACTGAATGGATCTTTCCATTTACTTAGTTCGTACATCTACGTGATACTTTTTTTGTCAGACAACTGAATTGAAATTTTCAAAAAAAAAATAATAATAATAAAATATCTTTCATTTTTAATTTTTTTCTTTGAGGTAAAAATTAAATAATTAAAAGAAAGTAAATTATAACTAAGGAAAAAAAACAAAAAAATAAACTAAACAAACCTAATTAATTAAAGTAAATTAATTGTTACATTTTTGTTTTTTGTTTTCTTATTTCCTTAATTATATAAATTTGGAAATGAAAAAATTACTTTAATACAACAGTTCTATGGACGTAGATGTGTGAAATCGCGGTATTATAACAAGAAGATCCTTGCATAACAAAATAAAAAAATAAAAAATTCAATTCATATGAAAAAAATAAAAGCCTTCAATCAAAAAAATTGAAAGAGCATTACTTGACCAAATCGGAATAAAACTCTTTTCTCTTACATATATTTTGCTCTTTCGTGATTTTTTGGTATAAGACAATGAACTTAATTAATTAGCTGATTTTTCTTCCAATTCTTAGCTCACTAATACTATTATTCCAATAAAATCAAAGGTGTTTATTTAGTCACTTTTTTCAACTGATCGACGAATATTTCCTGATTATTACCGTCTCTCTCCATATATAACATACTTCTCCAAGCCCTTAAAATATTAATTATAATGAGAAATTAATAGATCAAGAAATAAGGAAAGCAATAATATTGGCAGGTTACATGAGTTCTGCGGTTGCCATCTTGACTAATTAATTAATTAGCGGTCGTTCTTGCTTTCCTTGTTTGCATAAAAAATAATTCTTGCTTAATTTCAACGTAATATATACATAACAAAAAAGCCTTTTTTTTTTTTTGGCTACTCATAACAAGTCCTCACTGTCCATGATTTTTTTATTAAGCATATATATAATATACGGCTTCCAGAAATATATATAGTGCATGATCAAAGTCTATGATCAAATTAATATATTTTTCATCGAAGGACCATGATACGATTTGCCTAGCTATTTACCATAATTAAGCTGACACCTGAAACATTCAATCTTCAAAATAATATTTTTCGGCACAATATTTTCTAGTTGGCTTCCGTATCAATACGCGGTAGCCTCAAGGAAATATAATCTACATCTCTTATTCTTCATCCCCCCAACCCCTCCATGTGCATAATTAGAGTATTGATCTTAAACCAGCCTTTACACTTCAAATAGATTCTTTTCCAATCTATTCCAAATTGAGCTTCTAGCAAGTAAATGAGTCATGCACCAACATGTGCACATATATATATAATCTAGATGTTTCACTCATGCTATCTAAGTCTCTTTTTATTTATTTATTTTGGTTACAAATTAAAGGTTTTGACTATGCCGTGATCGCCTAAGAATGATTGAGGAATAGAAAAACCGCAACTAGCTAGATACAATGTGTAACGAAACGAAAAAAGATAGAAAAAATGAACGCAAAAGCTTTAAAGAGTTACTGTATCGGATTTAATGTGTACCAATATTGCGGCTTCTCTTTAGAACTTTGAAGATACAAGTGCCAACAACTGTACATTTTTTGTCAAATTTAATTTGAAATGTTAAAGTGTGAACTGTACTTTATTTACAGGTTGGCTTTAGGTATCAAAGTGAAGGCGTCATGCCGTATGTAGAATTGAATTGTAGCCGAACTTCAAAAAGGGTATGTGGAATGAAAAAAGAACAAGGAATCTTTTATGGAATAAGGAAAAAAGGATTTCCATAATTGCTTTTTCTTCAATCTCAGGATTCAATAATTGGATATTGTTGCAACTGAAAAACTAGAGAAATCTCTATATCCAATTCAGCGAGAAGAACAAATGAGGGTGCCCTCCCATGGTTGTAAAACCAATGTTCTCATATTTTTTGCCTTTTTTGTGCAAGCTTAAGAAACACATGGAGGACTAAGTCCTAACAAAAGCCACCCACGGCTATCAGGTAACAATAAGTGTCTGCCTGATGCCCGGATGGTCATGCCAAGCAAGGTCAGCATCAGATTGATGCGATCCTAACTTCATCATCAAATCCGCACATTGATTCCCTTAACGCAAGACATGATCAATGGAAATAATCCAGCTCCTATACAACAAGTTATGAATATAGTGCATGAGCAAACTAAGTCTTTGATCAAATAAGCTTTTTCAGAATTCAATGATTGGATATTGGTGCAACTATAAAACTAGAGAAAGTTCTATATCCAATGCAATGAGAAGAACAAATGAGGGTGCCCTCGAAAGCTGTACACGCATACAAAACGTACATTCCTTAGCAACGGATTGGCGCACTGCTAAATAAGTTTTTCGTTGAACGTTTGCCTAGCTATGAAGTGAAAAGTTCGAAACTCATTCATTGTAGTTTATAGTTTGTGATATATTTACGTCTTCATACATGATTATAACTAATTTTGAAAAAAAATCTTAAACTTCGACCACGATATAGGTGCAGTGGAAGTTCTTTTAGATTTAAAAAAAAAAAAAAAAAAAAAAAAAAAAAAAAAGAAGAAGAAGAAGAAGGAGGAGGAGGTAACGTGATGTAGATGCAATGTTTTATTTGTATTTTTTTCTTTTAATGGTTCAAGCTTAGGAAACACATGGAGGACTAAGTCCTAACAAAAGCCACCCACGGCTGTCGATTAACAATAAGCGGCCGATGCTCGGATGGTCATGCAAAGCAAGGTCAGTATCAGATTGATAGGATCCTAACTTTGTCATCAAATCGGCATAGGATAACCAGCCTAATTCAATTTTTATTTTATCCATAAAAAAAATAGTCTATCCATTATTTATTAGGAAATCATTATTTAAATCTTTATCCACCCTACATTAGTTTATCCACCCTTTTTTTTTTAATACCCACTAAAAATAATTTATAAAAAATATTTCATTTCAACCCCTATGCTTTTCAAGAAAAGATTTTATCCTTAAATTTAAATTGTTTTACATTTTGATCATTTCTTTATAAGTTTTTTTATCATCAAATTTCTTGAAAAACATATTTTGATCCTTAATTTTTAAATTTTATGCAATTATATATTTGTATGTTTTAAAAAAATCAAAATAAATTAATAGGTATTAATAGGATAAGGAGTAGGTATCCATGTCCTAAAATGATAGGTATTTTTTTTATTCTTACCTATTTTAGTATCCATTGGATATTTTTAATAAATATTTATTAGGTCAAATAAAATAAATATTTACTTTATATTTAGCCCATTATCATCCCTAAATTTGCACATGATTCCCTTAACGCAAGACATGATTAATGGAAATCCAGCTCGTGTCCAACAAGTTAAGAATATCACATATGAGAGTCCAATAGGGATGTTGTATGCTAGAATCTCTATTTAATGGCTTCATTAGAATCAGCTCAACTAGGATTACCAAGGCTACTGCCATTTACATTCTATTTAAGGTTTAATCTCATCAAACATCTCTTTGCTCTTGACATTTTCTTAATGTGACTCCTATATTTTTTTTATTCAATCCCTTTTTATATTTTTTAATTTTTCTCAATGTGGCCTCTTTTATTATTTTTTCATCAATTTTTTTGATCAAAATAAATAATTGAGATAAAATAATCTATATGGCATGACACGTCATATTTTTTTATAAGGTGAAAAAATAAAAAAATCAATTTATTTTTCTCCTTCCTCTCCCTCTCTCCCCTCTATCTCTCTACCTCTCCTCTATTTCAATAAAATATTTCTCAACGTAGTGACTTTTTATACCGGTGATAATGATGGTTATGATGTTGCAGCAACAGATGTACTTGCTGGCATGGATCAAACGATTGAAGATGGAGTGGACATCATGTCATTGTCCTTGGGATTCTTTGAGATACCAGTATATGAGAATCCAATAGCCATAGGAGCATTTATAGGTCTTGTATACTTTGGACTTGGAAATCGAAGCAAAGAAGTTTGTGATTAGAACTCCTTGGACCCCAAAGACGTCATAGGCAAGTTCCTCTTCTATGACTATGATGATGAGTCATCACAGTTTTGACAGATGTTTGAAAATGACCAAATAGGCCAGACATTGGTAGAGCTATTAGGGTTATCTTCTGTGAAAACGATGCAGAATTTCACTACCCAACTACTTCTACATGTCAATTGTGATAGTGAGCACAAAAGACAGAGAGTTGATCAAGAACTACATCATCAATACCACAAACACAATAGTTAGTGTAAAGTTTGGGTTAACATTATTAGGTACTAAGCCAGCTCCAAAAGTGGCATATTTTTCCCCTCGAGGACCAAATCAAAGATCCTCATGGACTCTGAAACCTGACATTCTGGCTCCTAAGTATCATATTCTGGTTGTTTGGGTTCCTAATAAATGATTTGCACCAATACATGAAGATGATTATGTGCTCACAGATTACGTTCTTGTTTCTGGCATATCAATGTCATGCCCCTATGTAGTTGGGATAGCTGCATTGTTTAAAGCTGCCTATCGTGATTAGAGTTCTGTTACCATCAGCACTAATAACATTTGTTGATGTTACAAATAATGCAGATGATAGAATCATTGATATGACCACTGAAGTTGCTGGCACACCCCTTAATTTTGGAGCAGGGCACGTAAATCCCAACAAAGCCCTGGACCCTAGCCTGGTGTAAGAGACAGAGCTAAAGAATTACATTAACTACTGTGTGCGATGAACTACACAAGCCAAAAGATTCAAATCATCACATGGACTTCAAATTTTGCTTGTGAATATGCTAGCCTGGATCTTAATTATCCTTCTTTCCTTATGCTCCTGAACAAGACTAATACTACCACCACTACCTTCAAGAGGGCGTTGACAAATGTATAAGATAATAACTCTGTCTTTATTGCGATGATCTTAACTCCTTCGAGTATGAAGCTCTAGTCCAACCAACAACACTTATATTAAAAAAAAAAAAAAAAAACAGTAAAGCTGAGTTTAATATGACTATGGAGATAGATTTAGAAGTTGCTAGTGTTACTCCATAGAGTGATTATTTTGGGAATTATGAGTTTTTAAGCTGGTACGAGGTTAATGGAAGACATGTGGTTAGGAGTCCCATTGTCTATGCAATTGCATCCCCTAAGACTTGAATCATCTGCTCATGTAACTTCTAATTTGAGAATCCATTTCAATTTTTAGCCTAAGATCATTATACGAAATAAAATGATAACATAGCATGTCTGCCAAAAGGTAGTCTCTCCATAATGCCAAAAGGATTGATCTCCTTCAATCAATTCGAAAACAGTACTCCTCCAAAGACATTTCACAGTCCACACATTTTATTTTACTAGTTTTTTATGTTTTTAATCGCAAGCAGAAGGTGATAGATTGTTTAAGGCCACTAGTAAAAAAATATTTTTGATTTGAGAAAGCTTCTCCAAATTTTCCCAACTTCTAAATTACAATAATATATGGGGAGAATTGTTCGTTGCCATTGTTTAAAAGTTTTAGGATTGAAATCACAGCAATATAGGTAAGAACAGCCACTCCATACAAAAAAGCTAAAAGCACAAGTATCTCCACTTTGATAGATTATAATGATTAGTCATAAACACAATCATTCATTAGCTATGTAATAAAAGAGTAAGAGGGGACACCATTTAAAAAAAAAAAAAAGTCTAGGCACTAAATTATGAATTAAAAAAAAAAAGAGTCATAAACATAACTATATATTTTTGATAATCTTCTTGGTGGTAATGATATTAAGTTATATAAATGATAATCTTTCTAAAGATCATGTTAGTGATATTTTTTTAATCTCTATTGTGGAGAATAATATGAACCCTTGGGAAAATAACGAGCGAAGCATTTTTGAATTTTACTATGACATTTTATACCTCACGTATGCCACCTGATTTTTGTTGTTGTTGTTGTGTTTTGGTTGCGGGATTTGTTGTTTTTTCTTTGTGCATTATGTCCACAAGATCCACAAGATGCTTCAGGATTAGAGTAGGAAAGCTTTTACCTTATAGAATAGAAATACTAACATTTATAAGAGATTTTTTGGGTGTTAAATTCGTCATTAAGCTATATCCATCAATAATAACGATTATACTTGAATGTGTGGGAACTGGACTGAAAAATCTTTCTAGAAAGAGTTCATTATTGCTAAATGTATCACATGAGATTTTTTTCCCATGATCTGGTAGCTTGAATTTTTTTTTTTTTTTTTATGAGTTAAATATATGTCTTGCTCTTGTATTATCTAATAATGCTCATGTTAACTCGTCTATTTAGGTATAATACATAATGCATCTTGTACTGCTAAATGTTGGTATAAATTAGCCCCTTCATTAATTTATCTTCGTCGGTTAAATAACATTTGATTAGTCATATGGTGACATATGTCAACTAAAAGATAAAAACATAATTTCATGTTTAAAATCAGTTTTTGTAATTTTTTTCAATTTTTATTAAGTTAAAATTATTAATAAGTATTTATAAAATGATAAAAAGGAAAAAAAATGATTCATTATATCATTTATTGTGAATCATAAATCTCTCTTCGTCATTTTAAAATGATGCGGGTTTATTAAAGATATAAAGAGGTAGAGATAAGACAGAGAAAGCCATTGATATGAGTTACATGAGGAGAAATTGGCATAAACAAGATCTTGAAATAGATCAAAGTAAAGGTTTGCTAAGAGTTCAGATTTCAACAAAGATTTGCATCCAAAGAAAAAAACACAAATATCAATCTATTTCTCAAATACCCCCACCCCAAAATACTTTTCAAGAAAAACCAGTATTTCTTTTATTAGAGAGAGATCCAACTGGAGCAAAATGCAACTAAAAAGTTGGGTGATAAGGATGGTTCACGTCATAATTGAAGTTTGGAATGTTGTACGTAGGGACAATTAACAGTTTAACTCAATTAGGATTGTTCATTTTGGAGTTTTTGTCTGGATGAATGAGTTTAGGGTTCTTGATTTAAGATATAGAAAGAAAAAAGTAGAGATGAAGAATGGAAATGGTTGGCTCACATCATAGATAAGAGAAGAAAAATATGACCACCCTTTAATGTTGGTAGTGAGGAAAAGAGAAAAGTTCATAATTGCTACGATGATTGATTCTTCTTCTTGAGTACAATGGTGAGGAGGTTTATTACTTTTAATTTTTATTTACTTTTTAAACTCTTTAATAAATAACGCAAAAATAGTTCAATTCGTTTTGTTTTTTATTTTCATTTTGTATAATTTATAAATACTTACTAATAATTTTAACTTGTAAAAATTCTCAAAAACTGATTTTAAACCAGAAAATATGTTCTTGCCTTCTAGTTGACACTGTCACAAAAACTTTAGTTATTTTTTAAAAAAGTTATTACAATTATTTTTAGTTAAGAATTGATTGATAAAAAAGAACAAATCATGTTTTTTTTCAGTATAAAATTTATGAAAAACATGAAAAAGAATTAGTTAACTATAAACTTTTGATTAAAAAATTATAAAATAAGATGATTGTTTTTTTTTTTTTAATTTTTGATTTGAGATATTTTGATAAAACCATGATTTTTTTAAATGATTTTACATGTTTACCTGACCCATAATGTAGAACCAGTATAATACTATAAGAGTTTTTATTTTTACTTCTAGTAGGTCATCTTACTAACTATTCATACATTAATTTGTAACAGAAGATAGTTAATTGTAAATAATTTATTAAATTCAAATTTATTGAAAAGCAATAGTAAAATGTTGAAATAGTTAGAGGTGTAATATAAATATTAAAATTAGTCCTGAAAATAAATATTTTTAAATTAAAAGTTTGTTTTTATTATTTAGACTTAGCAGACAATAAACATTTTTTTTTTCCAAAAATTATGCGTAATATAAATTTTGACATAAATTTTAAATGTGAAAGCTAGTCAGTGAATGCATTACTCTTAAATAAAATAAAATAAAACAAAGAAAAATTAAAAAATCCTATTTTGAGACCCTGTGTTTATATCAAATCTGTAAATTAAATCATATATATACATATAATTTGATTAATTCAACCCTAAATTTGTTACATTTAGATAATTTAATTCTATTATCCTCAATTCATATAGACATAAAATACCTAGATTTACTGAGAAGAGTATATTTATTAAATAAAGAGCTTAAATTAAAATTATGTTTATTCTCTTTTTTATATTTCTAAAATTTGTAATATGGGATGTAGAGTTGCGAGAAAGTCGTGTTCTGATGTCTTTCAAAAAAAACAAAAAAAAAAAAAAAAAAGACCCACCCTATTTTAAACGGGTAATGAAACATAAACCTGACCCGTATCACAAGAAGAAAGATTCAAAAAGCAGGGTTTTGGCTCACGGCTAAAACCTTAGTCCCGTATTTCAGTATTATCACGGTAAGGAAGAAGGCCTTCAAACCAATCAAGCAAAAGATGGGGAAGGTAAGCTACAAGAAGCTAAGAGGTAGCCAAAACCTCCGCCAAAGACTGCTATTGGCGACGCTGTCCGCCACACCTATCCAAATCGAAGACATTCGAGCCAATGACATGTTGCCAGGCCTCCTCCCCCATGAGGTCTCTCTCCTCCGCCTCCTCGAGAAGATTTCTGATGACTGTCTTGTCAAAATCAATGAAACTGGTAAAACAAATTATCCCCTCTGTGTTTTTTCCGTTTGCTTGAGCTGGGTTTTATTTTTTTGAGGAATCTATTTTATGTGGCAGGAACAAAGTTGAAATACAAACCCGGGATTTTGATGGGTGGGAGACATCTTGTGCATGATTGTGGTGTAAGTCGAGCAATTGGGTATTTCTTGGAGCCATTGATTGTTCTTGGGTTGTTTTCGAAGAAGCCCCTTTCGATAAGGCTCAAAGGTACTGTTACTTTCTTTGTTCGGTTTGCTAAAATTTGGCCTGTCAGCATGTGCTTAGAGTTTGTTCAATTCTATGTTCTTTCTGTTTATTGGGTTTTTAGTTGCATAGTTGAATTACTGTCATATATTCGATCTGCTCCGTCCTCATCGTTTTTGCTCCAAACATCTCCACATGAGTGATTTTAATGTACTGTCACTTGAGGAATAATCGAGAATGTAGGATCTTTAAAGCATGCTTTGTGCCTTTTGGTAGTTTAGAGAATGATTGGTTGTAGGGGCTTTGTCTGATGTTGTTTTGTATGTTCACTAGAAATGGCTATCCATTTTCCCCTTTGTGCTAATATAGATCACACCTTGTCCACATCCTAATGCTGAGACTTACCTAGGGTCTTTGAAACTGTGCTATGCATGACAGACTAGGGTGCTAACATTTTTGCATAGGGAAACATAAACAAATGGCATAGCTTTTCGTATTAAGAAGATTTAATTGGATAACATATTGTTTCCAGGAATTACAAGTGATTCTAAGGACCCATGTGTTGACACTTTCCGTTCTACTACCTTACCATTGTTGAAGCAATTTGGAGTTCCTTCAGAAGGATTGGAACTGAAAATTGAAAGTCGTGGTTCTCCACCTCACGGTGGCGGAGAAGTTCTTTTATCAGTTCCAATTATTCAAAGTCTAATGGTGAGATTTTAAATCCCATGGTAGTTCATATGTCTGGGTTTTTCTTTTTTTCCATGTTCTCATTTGTTACACTCTGCAGGCGGTTACCTGGATTGATGAGGGAATGGTTAAGAGGATCAGAGGAGTTACTTTCTCAACTAGAGTGTCTCATCAGTTTGAGGATACTATGATACATGCTGCTCGAGGAATCTTTAATCGTTTGCTTCCTGATGTCCGAATATTTACTGATCATAGAGCTGGTCCACAAGCTGGAAAGTATGTTATCTGTTAATGGAAATTGTCGTCTCATTTTTTGCTTGGAAATATTCTAAAGAGAATTGGTACTTGAACTTTCTTTTAATTATTTGCTACTTTGCTTCCTGATGTTTGCGTATCAGGCATCTTAAAGCTGGACGGCAAGCTGGAAAGCATTATATCTGTATATAGAAATGTTTTCTGTTTGTATGTCTGGATTTTTTGAAATATTTGAGAGAGAAATGTGTATCACTGCTTGGAATTTTTTTATTTTTATTATTTTCAGCATGCTTCAGAGAGTGTAGCTCACATGGATATTGATTTAATGGCAGTTCACCTGGTTATGGAATATCCTTGGTTGCGGAAACTACTTCTGGTTGCTTCATCTCTGCTGATACTGCAGTTTCTTATGCACGAGTGGATGATGGTGGAATGGAAGATGAGAGACAAGAGCTGATGCCTCCAGAAGATGTTGGTGAGCAAATTGCTTCTGTTCTCCTTCAGGAGATTGAACAAGGTGGAGTTGTAGATACAACACACCAGGTACGTCTTATCTCCTCTCTTTGTGTGTGCGCACGTGTGCTTGCATGAAATTCATTTTAGCTGGTCTCTGTTGCTGTTTTTTGTTTCAAACCCTGTTACTTCTATAATATTACTTCCCAACAAGCAGGACTAAATGCAGCAAAATGAAATATTTTAATGACTAATTATCTGCTTCTGTTTATCTTGTGTGGTGGTAATAATATTAAATTATAGATGATAATATTTCTGAAGACCAAGTTAGTGATATCTTTCTAATCTCTACTTTGGAGAATAGTATGACACCCTTGAGGACAAGAAGAGTGCAATCTTTTTGGGTTTTACAATGATATATTATACCTCGTACATGCCACCTGATCTTCGTTGCTGTTTTCTTTTGGTTGCAGGGTTTATTGTTTCTTCTTTGCGCATTATGTCCACAAGATGTTTCAAAGATTCGTGTAGGAAAGCTTTTGCCCCATGGAATAGAAATACTAAGACTCATCAGAGACTTTTTGGGTGTTAAATTTGTCATTAAGCCAGATCCATCGACAGGGACAGTTATACTCAAATGTGTCGGAAGTGGACTGAAGAATCTTTCTAGAAAGAGTTCATGATTGCTAAATGTATCACATAAGATCTCTTTCCATGATATGCTAGCTTGAATTTTTTTTTATATATCATATTATTACCTGTAATCTATAATTGATAGGAGGGAGAAGTTTTGATTCAACTTTTATTGTATATCCAACTCCTAGCAGATCCATGCTTTATGTGAAATGGATATTTTAGTAAGCAAATTTGAGGGTTTTAATTTTTTTTCATCCAAGTAGAGGTCATTGTGTCACTTTAAAGAAGGAATTTGTTGGAAAAAGTAATTAAATTGCAACAGAAATAATCAAAGGACTAAGCTATAAATAGATGTAGAATCTTATGAATTTGAATCTAATTTGTTAAAACCCTCAAATCAGATAGGACTCGGATTAGATTATAGTAGATTTGAATCTAATTTATTTAATAAAATAGATTGGATCGAATATTATGAATTTGAATTGGATTATGAAAATGTGAAATTGGATCTAGATCTATCATATTCGGAATGAATTTATATTTTATATATTGTTTAAATGTAAAATATATTTCAATTATTACATGTATAATAAAATATATTAAAATAATATTTTATTTATCAATTTTGTATAAATTCAAAATGCCACAATTTAAAAGTATAAAATCAAATAATCTTCATAAAAATTTGCTTTGAACTAGATAGAAAGTAGGATAAAATAAAAAAAAACAAATAATAAATAATCTTTATTTCTTATCCATATACCAACAAAAATAAAGTGATGACAAATATAATAACACCAAGTTTTGAAAAAATATATAAGTCAATTCAAAATTTTTTTCATAAAATTAAATTAAGAAAATGACAAGAAATTTAACATGTGATTTTTTCAAAAAAAAAAAAAAAAATTCAATCATCACCGTTAAAAAGCATATGTTATTTGAATTTTATAATAAATAAAATTTAAATTTCAACCTAGATTCATATTTATATTTTTTAATATTTAAAAAAAAACATTATATTTATTATAAAAATATTATTTTTTATTTTAGATTGGATTATTATCAAATTGAATCAAGATAGACATGGATTTGATCTATTTAATAAACAAATTGATCAATTCATATCATAATCGAACTCATATTATTTACCAAATCCATTTAATTACATTAAAGTCGGATCAAAATCTGATCCATTTACAATACTATGTATAAGCATTCAATATGCGTACCGAATTATCTAAAAACAAAGGGACTAAATAACAGTTCACCTTTTCGTTTCTTTTTTAGCATCGTAGAAGCAAAATGCATAAATCGATTGCCAATTTAATAAGCGAACTAGAACAATCAGAAAAGGTGAGGAAAAAAAAGGTAAAGACCAATCTGCCAAGAACAAAAACTTATGTGCAAATAGTGTTTTTAGCATAAGACTAATTTTTTTACTCACGTTACGCTATAAATTAGATAAAATATATAAAATTGTTTAGAAAAAATCATTTCAGTTTAATAATTTGTTTTATGGTATGAATTTATAAAAATATATAAAATCAAAGAAGAAAAAAGATATTTATAATTTTTTAATCAAAAATTTTGTATCTAACTATTTCTTATTTGTGTTTTCATAATTTTTGCTTTAGAAAAAAAGATTTATCCTTGTTAATCCATAGATTATTAACTAAAAAGAAAATTAAATAAATTTTTTTAAAAAAGCTTTAGTGTTTTATAAGATTGTGCTGAAAAAAAATATTATTAAAAGCTTACATAGAATTAAACAAATAATTTTTTTATTTAATGTTGATGAGAATATCAATTTTTTAAAAAATGTGAGTTTAATTTTTATATATTTATTTACAAAAGAATGAATAATATTAAAATAAAAAACTATATTAATTTAAATCATTGAGTGGTTAAGCCAAAACATAATTTTAATTATTTAATTTAAAATAAGTCAATTTTAAAATATTCAAAAATAAATAAATAAATAAATAGTAAATGTTTAGTATAGTAGTTGAACAGTTAATTTCTAAAAACAACGATTTAATATTTTATACTAAGTGAGTTCAGAATTTTCAGTCCAAAACAAAAAATACTATAAAAAAAATTAACTTTCAAGAAATCTATTGACTAAATTTGAAGTTAATAGACTAAAATAAAAAGTATTACAAATTTGATTTCGATTAATTTTGATTATATAAAGAAGAAGCAAATTAATAAAACATATGAATTCTTTTTCTTTTTCTTTTTTCCTCCTTAAATAACTTTTTTATTTCTATGCTATGCATATCTAGTCCTCGAATACAAGCTTCATTTGCGCCATCTTCTTTTCATTTTTCACATTTGACTTTCAACTATTAATTAACTAATTTGAGTTTTTTTCCTAAAAAATTAAAAAATATATATTTGAAACACTTTTAATCTAAAAATGCATTTAAGATAAATTATATATATTAATCATGCCACTATAATTTAAAAATTATTTAAATCTATTTTTCAAAAGAAAAAATAATCATGTTCTAAAAATTTATTCCAAAATTCATACATATAGAAAAATAAATCAAAATTATCAATAAATATAATTTTAAATTATTTGGATGAGAATTTAAAAAAAAATGACAAATTAAAGTAATAAATTTTAAAAACTAAAAATAAATAACAAAAAAAAAAACTAAAACAAAATGGAACCAAATTACGATATAATTAAAGTTTGAAATTGAAAAAAATGTATAAAAAAATTGAGAACCATAAAATTTTAAATTAATTGGATAAGAATTTTTTTTTTAAAAAATGACAAATTAAAGTTATAAATTTTAAATGATAAAAATAATTAACAAAAAATACTAAAACAAAATAAGACAAAATCATAATACAATTTAAGTTTGAAATTGAAAAGAAATATAGAAAAATTAATGACTAAAAATATATTTTAAATAAATTATATATATTAATCATGCCACTATGATTTAAAAATTATCTAAATCTATTTTTCAAAAGAAAAAATAATTATGTTCTAAAAATTTATTTCAAAATCCATACATATAGAAAAATAAATTAAAACTATCAATAAATATAATTTTAAATTAATTGGATGAAAATTTTAAAAAATGACAAATTAAAGTAGTAAATTTTAAATAATAAAAATAGTTAATAAAAAATACTAAAACAAAATGGAATCAAATTACAATACAATTAAAGTTTGAGATTGAATATATATATATATATTGAGCATATAATTTTAAATTAATTGAATAAAACTTTTTTAAAAAAATGATAAATTAAAGTAGTAAATTTTAAATAATAAAAATAATTAAAAAAATACTAAAATAAAATGAGATCAAATTACAATATAATTAAAGTTTGAAATTAAAAACAATATATAGAATTAAAAAAAATGACAAATTAAAGTAGTAAATCTTAAATAATAAAAATAATTAACAAAAAAAAAAAAAGATGAGACTAAATCACAATACAATTAAAGTTTGAAATTAAAAAAAAAAGTATAAAAAATTTGAAGAACAATAATTTATAAGTGTGTAAATAGTATTTTAAATAGTGAATAAATAGTAAAATAATGATTTTACTTTAATTTTATGTATATTATGTCAATTTCTAAGTAGATGGTAAGAATTAATGTCATGTACCCAAGTGAGATGTGCACAAAAGGAGATTGTCACTTTTGCATTACAAATCTTGATACGACAAGCTGTCCTTTTTTTCCATCAATCATCGCCCCAAGCATCATCTTTCATTTTTTGCCTTGTAACTATCCGGTTCTTTCTGGTTTCTTCCTGAGTCTTCAGTTCTCTCGAACCGAAGGTTGTTGGCAATGTCAATCCCATTCCATGAGCGATCAGCCTTTCGGCAGTTCTTGCTGATGTCTTTGGCCTTCGACGAGGAGGTTCCAAATCTGACAAAAGGAATAACATAATTGTTAAAAAGGAACAAGACTGGAGGTCAGAAAACCACGCTCCTCCTATTTCCCAATAAAATAACAGAAAACTGGTTAGGAGTTAGGATTGCTAAATATCTTCACCTAGATTTATGCTAAATAATTTTTTCCACCACCTGCAAAGATTTCCAAACTCCACCCACTGCTTCGGAATATTTCAGGATTCTAGGTCATAATTCAGAATACGTGAACAAGGAGTGCTATTAAGAATGCTCTCTCAACACGAGTATGAATCTAGTTGAAGAGAAAAAGATGTGATGAACTCGCAGAAAGTTCAACTTAATACAAAGGTGAGGGATTTTAGTATATGAAACAGGCAAGACGCCACTGAAATATTTTACAGCAGGCCCACTTAGAAGCAATCAAAGTCTCCAGTTACAGTAGAAGAAGGTTTAGTTAAAAGAGATTTTATTGAAGAAAGCAAGTTGAATAACTCAGAGAAGCTGAATGACTGTTATATAACATAACATAGAACAAAGAGGGACAAAGAACTTTCATTAGACCAAATGACACGACATGACCGAAGTACAAAAGAAAATCATAATCTCAAACCCCGTTATTTCTCTTCCCCCAATGACCGTTTCCTTCCTTGCGTATCTATGATAACACCATTCTTGCTGATTGTGATATAACTTAGATGGCTTTTTTACTAGGATAGGAGCAAGGACCTTTTACAACTTCGACTTCTTAATTTTATATTTAATGCAGTTATGATGCAAAGACAACTGGGCATATAGAAATTCAGTTTAAAGCCAAAAGAGAGCCTATCTGAAGGCTTATATGTCTCAGAACAAATAGATATTGTTGGGGGATAACTTTGCAGCTTCAGGTAAGTTTAACAGCAGAAGCTTCACTAACTACTAAATCTGGTACTGCTCAATAAATCTACTCTTATCAACCAACAATTTTCTAGAGTTTTAAGTGGGAAGGGGATTGTAAATCTTTCTGCCTTTGCGTCTCTCACCACATTGTTTAGTAACCAGCCTCTTCAATGAATTGGACAGTGGGTTCTTAGGTGGACTTCAGTCTTATGTACCTTATCTGACTTGTAGCAGCTCAGAGTCAACATCTCTAATCTAATTAAGCTTCCAAATAGGCTCTCTCTTGAAATTAAACCAGTTTTTATATTCCCTCTTGGATATGCATCAAATTTACACATGATTCAGAAGAAATAGAAATTGGGCAACAATTTACCTTTTGTTGGGATTGAGCCCATTAGTTCATCATCCTCATCAAGAATACGCACAGCAAATGGACATTGAACGTAGTTGCAGGCCTCAAGTGCTGCATTAGAAAATTGAAATTGTAAGTAGATCGAAAACCTTTCCATGTCGATCTCAATAGCAGCAGCACATATATTGGAATTTCTAAATATGGAAAATCTTCAACCTCAAAGGAAGCAATGTAAAAGAAGGTAAACTAAAGTTTGAACAAGCAATGATGAAAAAAGCATCTAATGACAAGCTTACTACTAAGCCAACCTTCACCACAAGAGAGAAGACAAAAACAATCATCTCTCCCAATGTCCAGCATTAGTAACTTAAGAATCAAATGAGCCGAAATCAGAAAATTACTGCTAGACATCAACCATCTACTGGCTCCAAATGGCACAACTAAATTGCAACCAGAGTGTCTAACTCTAGAGCCTACAGCATAGTTTTAAATAGCGAACACAGTTGTAAAAACGGTTGCGATTGCAATCACGGTAGTAAAATAACGGTCGTAGCAAACGACGCTTTTAATGCATTAGCAGCTGCTAATAAATTTATTTGATTCACATATTTTAATAGCTTTACTAATTAAGCATAATAATAACATCTCTAATAGTTTAATATCATACAACAATAGTTGAATTTATTACAAAAGAAAATTAATAACACTATTAATAACTTAACATCTCACAAAAAATAATAAATACATTACAACTTCAAGATGTAAGATTTAACGTAGATAACATCTGAGAGAGTGTATAATAGATTCAAATTTTTGAAAAAAGAAGCAAAAATAAAAAAAGAAATATAACGCTGTTATATAATGGTAAATAATGTCATTACATAATGGTAACACTGTTATTCGCCGTTATTTGCGTGAAACAATGATGGAGACCTTATAACGGTGAATAACAATAACATGGCCCGAAACCATTATACAACAGCCGTTATTTAAAACCATGGCCTACACCTCCTCAAATGCATAAAGGTCTGCACAGCCAAGGCAGAAATTGAAGATAATCTTCATTCACTAAACTGCTAAACATTGATATATTTTATGCATACCCAAATGAGCAAGTTTAGGGAGATTATTAAATAGAACAGTGCTAATTGAAGGGAGTAACCAAGCCCTTCCCACGCCAAGTCCAGACTTGCACTCTAAATCACATGGCTGGGAGATCTTGGTGGTTAAAGTCAGAACTTCGATTGGAAGAATGACAGAACTCTGGCCACTATCAAGGACACTATTTTGCCCCTGCCCTTGAGGAGACAGCGCACTTTGACAGCATGCCACCTTAATGACATTTGCTTCTTATTGACCAAGTCATCATAAGGATACCCATGTAGTAAGGGTGTCTTCCTAGCTCATGTTTGACCTTCTATACCATATAGCTTATGGACCATTCAAACAGGGTGTCATTTCTCTAGATTTCTATACAACCAATTCTCATTGTCACATCGTGCCATACTCCTATCAACATAACATCTCACAAGCTTCAGTTAAGAAAATTGGCTGAAACAGAACTGAGGGCCATATGATTGAGTTTACAAAACATGAATTCAAGAAATACAAACATTGCAAATGATAATGTGGCATTGTTCCATACATTTTGATGCACAAACTCAAAATTATATAATATCTTTTTGTTTACATCCAAGTCCAAAGATAATTAACAAAAGTTTATGCTCTCTTTGCTTCTCCAAGATCTTAAACTCCACCGAATTAGATCTTTCTTTCTGAGATACTATAATATGTAGAGTTTAGAAGATTGAAGAAGAGGAAGGAGAAAATGGATTAACAGGTTCTTCAAAACATGCAGTAATATGATGCTTCAATTATGGTGATGCTGTACCATTGTTTGACTGCAGTTATCTTCTTTCTCTTTCTTCTATATATCTTCTTAGCTATGGTTTAAAAACCTAAATTTACTGGTGATTAGAGTATTGACTAAAGGTGAGGAGTAAACAGATCACCTCAAACCACAGGTTAAAATCCTTTAGTTGACTAAATAGATTCCCTTAAATGTGCAAGTCTTCTTTTGAAAAAGAATACACCATATAACAGAGCATATGCCTTTTTTTTCACTTTACCTCTATGAGAAGCATCTCAAAATCAAAGTGTAGTAACCATGTCCCATGTCCCATTAGTCAAGAGCGAAATCAAAATCCTCCTGAAGGATGGACCCATAGAGATGATTGGATATACCAGTTTATCTCATGTATCTATTGTATTCATATTTTCTATTCCACCACTGAACTTTATATCATATTATATATTATCCACACCACCAGCATTATTCACTTTGGTTTACATCTGCAGTCAGAATATAACATATAATTACATACTTTTATCCTTAAATTTTCAACATCTTTCAATAGTATTTTAGAACAACCTTTATTACATATCAATTTCATCCATTATAAAATTTTTAAGTTACTAACTATAATTTTTCAGATAAAGCGATCATAAACAAAATGGCTCATGCCTCATATTCATAAGAGGTCAAATGTCTTGGTTCAAGCTTTCCACCATATAAAATCTATGATCCTTATCCCAGCCTATTAAACAACCAAAATAAGGAAAAACTATAAACTCTTAACCATTTCCTTTCTTTTTATAACCATTTTATAATAAGGTTGGATATAATCTCTCTGAAAGACCACGATTTTGATATCTTTTTTCAAAGGATCCCATGTCATCGTACATTTATTCGGATCTTTATTAGTTATGCAGATCATATATTTGCACTTTACGTACATTAGTCTTTCTGCCACCAAAAATGTGTGAATGCTGAGATATGTAATGTTTAGGGAGCATTTGGTATGAAGGCATTCAGCATTCTCATGGGAAAGTTGTTTGAGATACATTTCTATGTTTGGTACGCCAGGAAATCTTGAATGCCCAGGAACCTAATATTCCTAAGGGCATGACATTTCATTCCCTTGAAAGTAAGGAATGTGATTCCCTTCTAAAATGATTGGAATCACAATAAGGGCAAGGAAATGCATTTTGGACTTAAATACCCCTACCATTAATAATGATTGGACCAATATACCCTTAATTTTTACTAATACTAACATAATTGTTTGAGATATTATGTCCCTATGTTTTCAAACATCCTTGGTGAATATTTATTTTACTTGATAATTACAAATTTATCAAGTCATTTTTTTCTCCTATCAAAAAGCTAAATTATTGAAAAAAAAATTTGCTATATCAAAAATTTAAATTTTTTGTTCAATCAATTTCAATATGTTAGTTTTCAACACTAGTAACATGTATTTTATGTGTATATGCTTAAACAAAAGGCAAATATTAATATTTCTAAATTTAGATATCATGAGTTTTAAGGTTAAAATGGTAAATTTATTTAAATTCCTCATGAATCCTTAAGGATGAACCAAACAAAATAAAGAGACATTGTCAGGATTTTTCCTTTTCAACCAAACACAAATATCACATTCTAGGAAGACATCTAAGAATTCACATACCAAACCCTCCTTAATGTCCTCACCTTTGGCTGCTAGCTGAATAACTGTATCAGTGAATGGATTCAAACCCAAGACACCAGCACAACATGTCAACCCCTCACCAATGGATTTCAAACTAGAACTACGGACTATCCGAACAATGCTTCACAGAGAATCATATGGCGCAATATTTAGTTTGGAAAACAGGTCACTGATCTTATATTTATCATCATACAAATGTAAAGTCAGTTGAGTGTTAATTACCAATTGATGGTGTTTGGAATACTGTGAGGGCCGCTGTATCATTAATCCAGCGAATAGCAAATCCACGATCTTTGAAGTCTTCAAAAAGCTTTTCTAGATCTGTTGTCCTTGTGCTTGGTGGAAAGCCAGCCAGAACAAGAGCATGATGTGTACCATATTTAGCTGCATTCAAATAACAAATCATTAAATCCTGCACAGCATTAGAGAAAAAACTAATCTGCACAAAACATGTTAAGATCTATGAGGGAATAAGTCAAAACCGATATGAGGTATGGAGCCACACATCCAACCTGAGAAAAATCCATGTTATCAGCAGTAGTCTGAGGTCATTAAGCAAAATGAAGATATTATTATTCATGTTCTTGTTATTTTATCATACCTAGCTAGCTACCAATCCCTACCGAAACCATGAAGAAATGCAAGTTAGGTGCAGAGCTGAGAAGGAATAAAAAAATAAAAACAATACTCATAGAAAACTAAGCTAAAAAAAATAAAAATAAAAACAATACTCATAGAAAACTAAGCTATCTCCACATTGGTATTCTAACAAACCTATTCTGGTCACAACAGTGCAAAACTGAGAATTAATTAGACAAATAGTGAATTGATGGTAATATTTGTGCCTCTTGAAAAGTGTGAAAAGGGAGGATAGATTGAATATACTTTTTGCTCAGTAGGCAAAAGAGAGCTAAGGGACCTAAGGAATAGACCAACCAAAATCTGATTGAGGTAGCACCCAATCACAGCAAGGGAATGAGCAAGAAAAACTGACTCTTGTGTATATAATAAGGGAAAGAACGCACATCTATCAATCTACCCATGGATAAGTATATTAGGTCTGAGAATTCCAAGGAGAACTAGGCTAAGTGAATGAAAAGATACTCATTTCTAAAGCTGGTATTTTCTTCCATGCATTCACCAATGATGTCTCAAAATTAAAATAAAACACATTTCTAGCTAACATTACACCGTTTTCTGGAACCATTTATAGCTAATTAATTTAACTCAAACTTCAGTTGAAGACTGGATTGTAATACCTAGAGAAAGAAGGGAAAAGCATTTGAATTTTTCTTTGTTTTTTTTTAAACATGAACTACAAAAGAAAGACAAACAGCGAAGCAGAAGAAAGGAAAAGCTTTATAGTCAACCACCTTATTTTGATCATGGGTCTCTTGACCGTTACAAATTTCTTGAATGGGGGAATTCAGTAAGGGTGTAAAGGAGCTTAAAATTACTGGGGCTATCATTACCCTTTTCTGGTTGCATTTGGGGGGAAGGAGATTTTTAAGAGAGAATCTCTCTCTCAACACAAATAATATTTTTGTCTTCCTCTCCCTTACCAGTAATAATATTTAATCATTATCTCTCTCTTTCCACTAAAATTTTAACCTTCAATTTGTTAAGACACCAACCTTAAGGAGTAACTTTTATATCCGAACCAATTGCTAACCAATTGCTCCTGTAGCAATTGATTTCCATTTTTCTAACCTCACAACAAAAGCAACCTTAAATGTAAGAACACAGGATTTGTATCTAAAAGAATTTCTTTTAGCATTCTCATTCTTGACGAAGCTTTAATGATAGATCCAAAGTGGCATTTAAAATATTCTCTAATTTAATCTTGTTGTATTTTTGTACTAGAAAGGTAACTGTGGGGTCTTGTCCAAGAACATAAAAACTTTAAAAGAGGTGGTTGCAAGTGAATAACTGAACATAAAGTAACAAAAACACCAGATATTCCAACAAATCAAACAGCAGAAACTATAAATATTCTCAAGATTTTATTTTACGAGTAATAAGTGGACTCCTTTGGCAGACAACTGCATGTATGGACAAGCAAAATAAAGGATCAAACAATTTTAAACGTGAAAACTTCACTCCTAGGAGATTAAAAGTGCATGGCTTACAATTTGTGGATTCTGTATTTTGTGTACTTTTGCACAAATCTTCATCATCAACATCATCAACAAGAGTCCCAACAGATTGTCGATCACTATACATTTCATGCTTTTTGTACGTAAATGGTCCCCGTCCACGCCGCTTAGCAGTCTGAACTTTTGTATCTTCCAAAGAAATATTCGATACAGAAGGTAAGGATTGTGGTGGGAGCAATTCATCAGGTGCACGATCTGCAACAGCTTCCCAATCTGCAGTGCATCACAACACCATTTAGATCATAAGCATTTCAATTCTCAATTAAAGAATCATGGGAAATAAGATTCAAGCAGAACAAAATAAGATGATCGAGCTATGTAACATAAGAAATAACAATCAGAGCGATCATAGAACGTTTTCAAGTCAGGCAAGTGTTCCTCGTTAGCACTAGCATATAAGCAAAAACTACAAGACCACTGCACCTTTCAACTCCCAAACCAAGGTCATTCAAACAAAAGGAAAATGAAGTAAAAAATAGAAACATACCATCATCTGAAGGCCCGCTGCATGGCGAAATATTGTCACGCGGATTCGATGATTTCTCAAGACGCCCTTCAAACAGACCAACAAGAAAACATCAATTATTTCTCACAATCAAATTTTCTTAAACCATCTGGTTACAATGCCTTGCTAAATACAGTTGTCGAACTTCGTTGCCTAAAGACAGAAAACAAAGAACCCATAAACTTACCATCATTAGAAATAGCATTGCACTTTGAAATCTCATCATCCTTCTTCACATTCTCAGCATCACTAAAAACCCAAAATTAAAAATAAGAATAAAATAGCATAAAACCCAGAAAACCCCAATTACAAAATAAAGAAATACCTCAAACAAAACAAAAAAATCCAATCTTTTTCCCAAACCTACTTTTCTCATCAACCAAGCAGACTCTTAAGAAAAAAATAAAACAAAGAGAGAGTACCCAGAAAAGCGTTGTTTAATGAGAGAAGCCCGAGAGAGAATTTGATCGGATTTGAGAGAGAAGTGTTTGGAAGAGTAAAGTTTAGCCAATTCTGTCAATTCAGATGCCAATTGAAGATTCACTGTTTCTGATGGGCTCAAAGTTTCAAGTCTCGAAATCTCAGTTTCAAGGAGAGCTATGGCGCCTTCTGTGTCACCGGCTGTCACCAGATCTTCTACTGCTTCACTCCAGTTTTGGTCTGATTGTGCTTCTTCTTGTGCTCTCGCTCTCTCCATTAGATTTCCAAAAAAAAAAAAAAAAAAAAAAGATGGCAACTTTGGGAGGGAGTTTTGCAGGAGAAGTACTGTACTAGTATTCCTTAAGAATTCTCAATTGAGTACTGAAATATTATTATCAATTCAGTATCTGAAATTGCAAGTTCTTGTCAAATGAATCCTCTAAAACTATTAAATTAGTCACCTATGTCTTACATTGTACTCATTCAAGTCCCTTAAGTCATAGTAATGACTAAGGGCGAGCATAATTCTGGTTAACTGAAAAATGAACCGAATCAAAATATTAAAATTATTTTAATGCGGTTCAATTTTTTTGAAAAAAAATTCAATTTTCATCAAAAATCGAATCTATTGAAACTAAAAACTAAAAAAAAAAAAAAAAAAAAAAAAGCATCTCATTATTACTAAATCTCTAACCCTAAAGTTTCTAACTCCCTAACCTAAGTCAGTTTTCACTTTTAAGCCGCACCTCTCCATCCTTCATTCTTTTTTCTTCTTTAGGCCTTTTACCTCAACAAGACAACAACACAACCACCACTAAATCACCTAGTTCTCACTAGTCGATCGGTCACCACCCATCTCTCTATCCTCCTTCTCCAATCTCATCAATCATCAATCGCCTCTCTGTCATCTTCCTTCGATTTTATAGTTATCGATCATTAGTCACCACCTATATCCTCTTTCTCCTACTCTTCGTCTCTTCCTCTACTTGAGAGCTCTCCTAAGGTTAATCTCTTTTACTTTTTTTTTTTTCATTTATATACCCATATGATTTGGATTGAATGTTTCGTGGATTTTTTTTTCTTTTTGTGATGCAAAACAATATATTAGTTATTATTAATTTTATGAACCATTAAATTCTAAAGCCTTGCATGTCCGGTTAAGCGGTAAAAATGATTTTACAATAAATCAAAGAAATCCCGAAGCCTTGTATGTCGATCTCTTATGCTTTAATTTTGATTCTCGCTCTTGGTTAGAATATGTTGAGATATACTTGTTATTTAAGTTTTCATGATTAGTAAATTTTTTGGTTTATTTAGGTGCTCGAAGCTACTCCAAGGAACAAGGGAGTTGTAGTAGCAAGCAAGCACTAAAGCTTGCTGATTTTGTTTAATTGATGACTTAAAAATCTTACTGATTTTGTGTTATTCATTTTCCTTGATATTAATGTGTCTATTTGGCTTTGCCATATGATTTGTTTTTCTTATGAATTGCTATATGTAATGTAATTGCATTCCAAAGCTTTGGAACTATAACATATTAACATGGCAATATGAGTGTAGATGATTTTGTCAAATTTATTTACTTTTGCATTTAGATTTTGAATATGGTTAAATTAAGGGTGCTATATATTGATTTCCAAGTGTAGAGTGCATGCACTAAGGCTTTATTATCTTTATGGCTTCTTTGAAATCCTTTGTTTTGTATGAAACTATTTATTGTTCAAGTTTTATTATCTTGTGGCAAGTTTTACCTCGCTTAAAAAATTATTTTGATTAAAATTAAATTTTTACAAAACCGAATCAAAATAATTCAATTTCAAACTAAACTTATTTCGGTTCAGTTTTAGTTTTGATTTTTCTTAATTTGATTAACCAAAAATCGAATCAAATTTGTACAAAACTAAATTGTTTAACCGTTTACTCACCCTTAGTAATGATTGTCCTTTGTCAAAATTCTAAAATTTTATGCTTGTCAAATTTAAATGGATAACCTTTTTAAAAGAATTAATAATAGCTACACAATTTAACTTTTTCATACTAGGCTCTAAGATAAGCAACGATAGCAATATTCGACAAGAAAGACAAGTCGTAAATCCACAACACAAGAGGAGAATCCCAAATAACTAGGGGGAATCAAGAGAGATTCTTTTTCTAAAAAAAAAAAAATTTAAAAGGTTAACCTAAGAGTTACCTTTTCAAATAACATTATTTGAAACTAGAATCCAATTCTAATTTCAACATATCTTGACCAATTGAATTAAGGACAAGTGAGGTTAAATTATACACATATGATTAATTTGCACAATTAATACACCGAATGGCTTCAATAGAATTTGATTCAAGGATGACATTTTAGCACCCGACATGCCAAACTATTTGTAATCCTTTACGCATAGCCTAGAGCTCAAACACGATGTTTGGAGCGATCCCAACACAAGAAGAAAAACCGGCTTTTCAATAACCGTTGACATCCTTAATAAGTCCACCTAGTCGAGCAAGATTATCGATACAACTTCCACCCATATTAATCTTCCCCTCCTATTGATATGGGTTTAATAGTAAAAATTGCTTTTGTTCTATTGTAATTTGACAATTTTATGTTTTTATAATCAATTTATGTAATTTGAAATCTAAAATATCGGTTTTTGAGCAAATTTTATCCAAATTTCAATTTCTTCGCTATTTATAACGATCAACCCAATTGACCATTGTTATTTTTTTTGCTGTTATTAATTTTTTGGAAAAAAAAACCCTTAAAAATGTGTTCCTTCATTTTTTAAGAGAGATTTTTTTTCACTCGTTTACTTATAAATAAAAAATTCATTAAATTTATCCCTAAACTTTTTTTGGTTCTCTTTCTAAAAAAGAGCTTTTACTTTTTGAACATATCTTAAAAAAATTATAAATAAAATAAAATTATAAATTTTTTTAAAAAAGGTCTTTAAGCTCTATTAATCTTAAATGCATATTATATATTTGAATCAATCTGTGACAATATAAAATCCTATAAACCATTTGGTATAAAAAAAATGTTATATAAATATAGTTATATTTAAAATTTAATGGTTAACAATCACAAGAATAAATTTATTGACGTGACAAAAGAAAATTTTTAGTTAAAATTAATTATTTGATAATTTCAATCGATCAAATTCAACCAATAGATATTTGCATTTTATTAATTATAAAATTTGATTGCTTTAATGGATAATGATACTACATAAAAGTTATTTTTTGAAATTGAAAATAATTATATACACATAACAATTTGATTGATTACAAAAAATTAAAGACATTAATATGTGGTAATTTTAAATAGAAAGAATCTCTCTTGAAAAATTGAGGAAAAATTAACATTTAAAAAACAAAAGCGAAAAGGAAAAAATTAACCTTAGAAAAAAAATAATGGTCAATTGGGTTGACGAGTTACAAATAACAAAGAAATTGAAATTTGAATAAGATTTGTCCAAAAACTTATATTTTAGGATTCAAATTACGTAAATTGATAATAAATCCCGAAATTGCCAATGGTCATCCTAGTTGATTGTTTTTTTTTTTTTTGCTATTATTTTTTTTTTTGAAAAAACCCTTAAAAAAATTTTTCAATGGAGGTTTTTTTTTTTTTTTTTTGCCTATTTACTTATAAACAAAAAATTATTCAAATTTATCTCTAAATTTTTTTTTGGTTGTCTCTCTAAAAAAGAGCTTTTACTTTTTGAAAATATCTTTAAAAAACTAAAAATAAAATAAAATATTTTTTTTAAAAAAAAGGTCTTTTAACTCTACTAATTTTAAATGCATATTATATGTCACTACTCGACGTCGGATAGACTTCCAAAAAAATATCATATCTAACGAGTTAATATTTACAAGTTTATTTATAGAGTTTGGAGTCTCCACCTAGTATTATAGAACTAGGAACCTAAAAATGGCATTGGTTCGGAGATTTTATAGTAAGGAGTTGGCTACACTTTTGAGAAGACATTTATTCACCCAAAAGTGTCATTTCCGAAGAAAGGTACCATATCTTGTTTAGGCCTAAATTTATCTCCTACATTGTTTATTTATGCCAACTTATTTTTTTGATTTTTAAACAACTCGTTTTAGGAAAATTAAATTTTTAGCTTTGGGCGTGGCATCGTATTGAAATGATCGTCGGTTCCTTTTCTTCGAGTGACACGTCGGTTCAAACATCATATCCACTTTAAGCTTCGACACAATTGGTGTATCAAAGGACATCCCGATTATTTAATGATGATTTTTTGTGATGACGAGTATCTATCAAATAGGAGACCTTACCACGAAACGATAGTCCCTATCAAAAGGAGACTTCGTTGAGAATTTTATTATTTTTTGGTAATGACGATCCCTATCAAATAGGAGACCTCGTCATGAAATGACGAGTCTCTATCGAAGGAGACTTCATTGAGAATTTTATTATTTTTTTGGTAACAACGATCCCTATCAAATAGCGAGACCTTGTCACAAAACAAAAATCCTATCGAAGGAGACTTCGTTGAGAATTTTATTTTATTTTTTTTTAAGAAAGATCAAAAAATATAAATAACATGCACAAAATAAATGAAGATTAAAATTACCTTGATTAAAATGATTACGGAAAATAAATATAAATCGACAAACATGCAATCAATTTATAAAGGTAATTACGTTAATTAAAAACAATTGAAGACAATGGTAATTACATTAATGAAAAAAATAATTGAAGACAATTAAATATCTAAATCAAAGATAAACACTAAGCATGCATAAAATCCAAAATTTTGGTTATATTCAAACATTTTATTTTTTATTTTTTATTTTTCATTTTATTTATTTTTTATTTTTTTAATGGGAGGTCTGGACTCTTTTTTTTTTTTTTTTAGTGGTAGAATGGGGTCGAGGCTAGGCCGAGAATAGTCCAGCCCCTTATTGTTGTTTGTAGGAGGAATGTTCGAGTCCAACCTCCTATTTTTTTTTAGATTGGGCTCAAACCCGAAACAAGCCCGAGACACGAAAAAAAAACTCAAACAAATAGGTCTAACGACCTTCAAACCATCTCTCTCTCTCTTGTGTTCTTCGGGTTCATCATTTTCTCTATTTGATTTCTAGCTTTCCCCATAATTTAAGCCCCATTTAAAATAAACAATTTAGCTTGCATGTCATTACTCTATTCCTTATTTTGATAATAAACTAGCATTGGAATCTTAAATCAATAACTAACAATCTTTGATGAAGTAATCTACGGACATTTTAAGACATTAAAAAAAAAAAGCTACC